GTTCTCCCCAAACAGAAGCTATGCTTAACTTTTTTTTCAAGGCTCTGTGATAATGGATCTCTGTGGGCCAAACCGAAGACAGTTTTGTCCAACTGACTGAGCACTGCAATTGTAGTCTGAAGACCTGGGTTCAAGCTGAAACTGCTCAACTTGTTAGCTTTTCAATAGGTAAATGGGAATAAATGAGTTCAATTTTGCAGAACTGTTGTAAGCATTAAATAAGAGAAGGGTTGGGGATATAGTTCAATGGCAGAGTATTTGTCTTGCATGTGAGAGGCCTGGGTTGGATTCCAGGGACTACCAAAAAAAGAAAAAAGGAAAAAGAAAAAATTAAATGAGAAAATGGGGCTGCTGCAAGAAAGCATTAACCAGAGACTATTACATAATCTGAACCTTCAAGTTTTAATCTGAATGAATCAGTAACGGTGACTACAATTAAGTGAAATTAATCAAATCAGCTCTATAGACCATAAAATAATAGGAGCCTATTCTCATCTCAGTGAAAGGGGGGGTCTATCTAATTACTAATTAAAGTCAGGAGTGCAATATGCAACCATATATAATCCAGTGTTCTTTTCTTTTGTTCTTAATATATTATTTTCTGAAATTATTAATTTACAGATTAGCTGCATTAGAAAAACAATGAAGCACTTTAATTGAGCATAACAATCTGCTTCTGATTAAGAAATAAACTCTGGGAACTTCTATGGATTTCTTGGGATTATAAAGCACTAAAGTACTCAGAATCATAATAAAAATGGGCAAATGACAGAAACCTTGTTCAAATGAGTCTGGAGAAATTCTGTGATGTCAGATTACCAGGGTACGGAATATGTGGAAACTTCCAGAGAGATGAGTTTACAATTCCATATGGCCTCTTCTTTCAGAAACAGCCTTAGGTCATTACCAGTTTCACTTTCCATTTAGGTATGGGGATGAGTTTATATAAGAAAACACAACAAAATTTTTTACCTAAATAATTCAGCCTCAGCAATGGAATGTTTCAATACAGAGTATTAAAAGTTCATCTCCAAGCAAGAGCATTTTATATAAATTTTATGCATGTTTTAATTTCAAATAATACAGGTTTGAAACCTTCACTGTACTCCTGTTCAGAGGTATTTGTCATTGTTTTAAATCTGTGTGGGTCTTAGACTCAATGGAGCTCTGGCAGTAAAAAAGGAGGTAACTGTTCTTTGAGGTCTTCCTTGTTTTCTTTTATAGATGTGTAAAGGTAACTGGCCTTTAGTTCAAAAGTATTTAGCAACCCAGAATCAATAAAAGCAACAATGATGCATATTGGATAAGGAAAATATTTAAACAGTCTGCTTCCTTTACATACTACTAATGTGGTCAGTGTTCGCCTAAACTGAGAAATACAACCAACATTCTGTTGCCCAGAGATGGCAAAATAATGTTGTAAGTTGTGAAATTTAAAAAGTTCAAGAAAAACATTATTCACAAAAAATAAAAGTCACAGTATAATGAGACACAGTAAGTTAGGCGACTCACTACCTGATCTTGAAGAAGTGGGGAATTTGCTTCCTAGTTTTGCCACTTCCTGACTGTGTGATCCTGAGAACTGCAAAAGTATAACATTGTTCACTTTGAAAACAATCCATTCCAGTGATCCCATAATTTGCCAAATGGGTATTGAAGACCCTCCCAGGAAGTGATCATCTTTTTACTACAGCAAGAGGATTTTTTACTTCATCCATAATGATTAGTTGTTCAGACTCTAAAAACTTCTGACCTGATTATCAGTCAGGACAGATTGCAAGCTTTCAATGCTGAGAGGTGGAAAATGCCACATGACCAAGGAGATCATTTCTTTCACGACTCTGGCAAGATCCTTCCATCGTAGTCCCCTTGGCAGACACACTAAACGACAGACAAGCTTTCTCATCAAGCCACGTCAGGTTTCTCTGTTTTTTCCTTGTTTTTGCTTATATCTGAGGTATCGGGGCGTGGTTGGTTTGGAGGTAGAATTCATGGGTATAAACGTAACTAGATCATCAGGTTTGGTGTCAAGTTTAACAATTTAACGGAGAGGGTTTTACATGATGGGAGAAATATGCTGTGCAATGCAAGATAGTTGAATGATGCCATTCTGTGGCCCAAAGTTAGAACCAAAATTGCCTATTACATCAGAGCCTGTGCTAAATCTCAATCCCAATGCTTTAAGTTCTCTTGCTTCATATTCTTTCTAAATCAACTTTCAGCAGGGAGGTCTGACAGATTTGGGGGAGAAGGGACCAAGCAATCAGAGCCCTCTGAAAGAAGATAGAGAAGGTGCTATGGTAACCCAAAGAAATCCAGACTCTTGGAACACCTACAGCACTTCCATTTCTAACAGTGCCCCAAGGCCACTCCTGCCTAGGTGAATTTGTGAATACTTATTCATTCTCACCTTTATGTTGAGAATGAGTAAGTATTCACAAATTCACAAAAAAATCTAAAGTGGGGAAAAAAAAGGCTATTAAAGCACCTCTCTGCCCTTCTCTGGGATTTCCCTTTCTCCTAGCTTCATCATGAATAGAAAATCATGGCGACCACGGGGAGTCATAGGTACGCTTTAGAGTGGGATTCCGGAATGCCAGCCAGAATTAGCTCCGCTGGTCCCCTTTGGGTCCTCTGAGAATGAATATGGACAAACAGAGAGATGTGTTTTGCTCTTCCATCAGGTTAACTAGGCATTACCCCATATACACTGAAAGTGTGTGTGATGCACATATATATCATAGACAAAGTACCAGTGTAATGGGTGACACAGAGCAGCATTTGATAAATGTGTCTTATTCCTCATTCCAAGTCCCCAAGGAGGCACATAATGAGAATTCAGGATGCCGAGATACAATTTCATTCCATCACAGAGCATGGAAAATTTTACCCTCCTGATTTTTTTTATTATAATCATTCATTTCGGAGCTCTGGGGATTTATAGTATATCAAATAGATGATAAGCAACCAAGTTGAGGCAGAAATGGTTATTCGGCAGATGAAAAGCCGCTATCCGAAAGATTACAAACTCTGAATCAATTATTGCTACTTTTGGAAATGTTAAAATCGAAAAAGATTCCAGGGATTCCTAGTGACAAATTTTTGAATCTATTTAAAATAAACATGGGTTTTATTTAATAGGGCTGCATGCCCTATATATAGTTCACATAGATTATATTTACGTTTAAGGGCAGAACTGGGAAACAAAAAAAATATTTGCTCTTCACAAATAAACTCTGCTTTGGGTGTTCAGCAAACTAAAGGAAAAAAAACCTAGTATTTTGTGTCTCATTTTCATCAAATATCCACTGGAAACCACAAACAACAGTATCCAGCAACAAATCAGAACATTATTAAATACTGTCTTCTGTATACAAATGGAGACATGACAAGATTAATTGATACTCAGGAAAGATCAACTGGCAAAACAGAATGATAAATGTACAGCAAATAAAAAGGAAAGAACATTAAACCTTAAGGCAGCATTGGTTGACTCTTCTCTGTTAGATGAGAAATTACATATTTCAATGACCAGTGAATACTTTTCACAATCAAAATAAATACCAAGATAAGATATCGAAGAAGAAATAGGTATTACTTTAGGACCTCTGCAAAATAAATACTGGAATTTTAATTGGGATTAGAAAGAATACACAAGGAAAATAATACCAGTGAAGTCATACCAGTCTTGACTCAAAGTTCCCAAGAATTATTATTATTAATCATCAATCTTTGGGCTCCAGAAATTAGGAAATCCTGTGGCTGTCTCACTAACAGGTGCGCAGGTTGACTTTATTTTTCCCTGAATGACGAGACTTTCAAACTGCAGGAGACTTTACAAGTAGGCCCTCAATGCTGGCTTGGCTTACCTGATAGGCTGGTCCCAACAGTGTACCCCAAGCATTGGTGCCAACCTAAAAGAATGACATTTATTGTGGCTGAAGAAGTCCCACTTGGACAGAACGACTTCAACGCTGGTTAATGAACAGACTTTGGGATTTGTTTTCTTTGCAGCTTGTTTTCTTGGATTTTTCTGGGGGAGGGTGGGATAGGGCGAAAGAGGGGCGGGGGGTGCGGGGAGTCCGAAAACTACCTTCCGTGGTTTCACTGTCAGTGCTCGATCCCGACAGAGCATGTGTGGGAAATAACGAACAGATGAAAACAGACTCTGAAAAAAAAAAAACCCAAAAAACAAACCACCGTGAAGATGAAAACGCGTTTGTGTGGTTGAGAAGTAAAACGTAGGCACTTCTACTTGAGGGGGGCTTTCACATTTTGATCCCAGACGGCTTTCCCACGCCACTCCTTCACGCGTGACCGGGAGTCCCCGCATGGGGCAATCCAGCTGGTTCGCCGGAAACCTTATTTCTGCCAACACCTTTTGGTGCATTTGACTTTCTTCTGGGCCCCATAAAATGGTGTCGGTGGATGCTGGAGGCAGAGGTGAAGTTCCTCCCGACGCCGCCGGAAGGGCGCGGCCGGGAGCGGCTGTCCCGCCATCTGGTCCATCAGAATGCTGGCTCCACTGACCAGGCTCCCCACTGGCCCGCTGCAAATGAAGGAGAAAGAGAGTCCAGGGCCAAGTTTTCTCTGGGAAAGGGTTGACAGGCCTGTCTCTCCCGAGTTCCTTCTTGTGAGTGTCATTCCACAAAGTGTACACAGTCTTGATCACATTCTAAAGCTACCAGGCTACTGGGATTTTTTTTTTAACCATTACTTTTTTTTTTTTTGAGGAAGTCTGTGCTAAAAAGGCACTAGATAAAACGAACTGCCTCCCGCTTGTGTACTGAGAGCAATTATCCACAGCGTTAGATTCAACACTTCCACAACGGTGATGTTGCATTTGAGCAACGCATCCCCATGATGGAGACTCATCTGCTCCTTCGCTTACAGAAGACACACCCCCGCGTCCAAAGGAATAGCGGGTCCGTCCTGTGCACCAAGACCGGCCTGAGCCCGAATTCACAGTTGTCGTCGGCAGCTGCCTGGATGCTGGGGCCCGGGCCGGGGAGGGCTCACTGGCAGCAGCTGTGGGAGCCCAGCCTCCGGGACACCTGAGTAAATGACACGAAGGTGAAGTTCTCGCAGTTTTCCAGCTTGACCTTCTTGGCGAGGTTGGGGACGATGCCCCGGAGAGACCGCAGGCCCATCCTCTGCTCCTCGTACCACACGCTGCCCATGTCCGTGGCCTCCTTCCTGGCCGTCAGGTAGAAAGGCGACTTGGCCTCCATCTGGGTCGGGGGCCGGTGGATGTACATGTACTTGTAGAGGAGGCAGTAAGGGCACTGCTTGTGGCCCCGAGAGTGTTCGTGGTAGATCTTCCCGTGGCAGACGCGCGTGGAGCCGCTGCGACTCTCCCGCTTGACACTGTCCGTCCGGGCGAAGTAGGGCTGGTTCTGCGGGTCGTTGAGCAGCTCGATGTCACCGTACATGAGGTCGGCATGCTCCTGCAGGGTCCGCATGTTCAGGTACTGGCTGTTGTACTTGACCACGGTGGACAGCAGGGTGATGGGGCTGTCGTCGCCCAGGCACCCCGCCTGCCACATCTCCTCCTCGTCCGACAGGGAGAAGTAGACGATGTTGCGAGAACGGGCGCCCGACATGCCCGCCTTGCTCAGCACCCACAGCTTCTCCTTGAGTTTCTTGGTGGAGGAGCTGAAGGTGCTGCTGGTGATGGAGAAGCCCACCCCTGCGTTCTTCAGGATGCGGTCCAGGCCTCGGCGAATGGCGTGCAGGGAGGTGGCCAGGAAGTCGGAGCCGTCGCTCTTCTTCACGGTGACGTAGAAGTTCTCGAGCAGCTCGTTCAACTTCACTGCGGGGATCTCGAATGAGACAAACACTGAGGTTACACACTTGAGGACACCCAACTAGCAAGAACCCCTGGACTTACTAATGATTCCAAAGGATTACTATAAGTTAATGGAAAGGGTCTGTAAGTAGTAATAAACACATGCACACATCTACGTGTGTGTAAATATACATCTACATTTATAAAAGGGGCATATTTATTTATGGACATAATAATAAATTATTATTAGCTTGCTTACTCTATTATTCTCTATAAGGCCTTTTCTAGCAAGGCGTTTCTTCCTTCTTCAATAAAATTCAGCCGTCCTCCCTTGCAAATCTCCTGAATTATCTCAGCATTCATTTCTTTGATATATGCACATACTGTTTGGAACTGCTGGCACTAAACATGGTGCCTTAGGGAAATACAAGTATGACAGGTCTATTTTGCATAGAAAGCTAATGCTTCTTGATTTTTTTAACTTGAATGCACCTGAAAAATCTGTGGCTTAAAATCAGTATTTGTTTAAAATACATAACAACTATGCATACAATATAACGGCTCTACACAATCTTTTACTTGGGTATGATAAGAGGAAAGGGAAGCTGGGCTGGTGAGAAAAACTTTCTTTTTAAGAACCAGCTATAGGGAGAAAACTCTACCTTACTCATGGTCATTTCAGGCTGAATATATAGTCTAGAATAGAAAATGTCAAAAATCATTAAAATCAGAAACAGTACGAGTAACATCTATTCTAACAGCCCTTAGGTCAAAAAGAGAACAAAAGCCAAACTATAGATTTAAAGGGAACCAAAGTCATGGATTCTATATGACAATGCAGATGCCGGAGCAGGGGGTGGGGTTCTATGGTCGGGTGCAGGCTCTGGGGCCTGATTTCAGTTTCCACCCCCCCAATTCTCGGATGGAATGCTGCCAAACAAATGCTAATGTCAGTATTGAACAACAAGTTAGAAAATAACTGGGAACTAGAGAGATAGTACAGTGGGTAGGGCACTAGCCTTGCACACAGCTGACCAAGGTTCAATTTCTGGCATCTCATCATGGTCCCCGAGGCACTGCCAGGAATATTTTCTGAGTAATCTCTGAGTATTGTCAGGTGTGGCCATAAAAACACATGAACAAAAACCAAAAAAATAAACTGCTAAGCAAAAACAAACTGATTATGCACCTTGAAAAATCTAGAAAAAATAAACTGCAGAGTAAATCACAAAATTAAAATAAATTAATAAACCAGAAAATAAATCTGAATAGATTACAGTGACAGATTAGAAAGACATTAAAAATGAAATCACAATTTTATTCAATGTTTTTGGCCATACCTGGCAGGTCTTCTGGGCTTACTCCTGGCTCTGTGCTTAAGTATCACTCCTAGTGGTGCTCAAGGGGTTTTATGTGGGTGCTGAAGATCAAACAGAGGTTGACTGCAAGGCAAGTGCCCTGACCACTGTACTAACTTCTCTGGCCCCCGTGTAATCTTTATTAAAAAAAAAATCTACTAATTTGGGAAACTTCCTATAGGCATAACAGCAAAAGAGAGGGGGGAAAAAAGGAAAGGAAAAAATACAATTAAACAATATAAGATATGAGAAAATCTATTCACCATAGATTTTTTTCAAGATATTGTCAAAATAGCCACCCAATACTCCCCAAGGTCTACTTCTCATAGTATCACATATTGTCAAGTGAAAAGTTGTCCTTTTCAGTAGAAAACAAGCCCAAAGTAAGGATTCTTATTGTTCCACTCCTGATCCAAACACGTGGACCTGTGAGTAGACCACTGTAATAATTATGACCTCTATCACTGTATCACTGTCCTCCCGTTGCTCATCGATTTGCTCGAGCGGGCCCAGTAACACTGTGAGACTTGTTACTCTGTTTGGCATATCAAATACGTCATGGGGAGCTTGCCAGGCTCTGCCGTGCAGGCGAGATACTCTTGGTAGCTTGCCGGGCTCTCCGAGAGGGGCGGAGGAATCGAACTCGGGTCGGCCATGTTGGCTGCGTGCAAGGCAGACGCCCTACCGCTGTGCTATCGCTCCAGCCCATGACTTCTATAAGTAACCGTAAAGATGATGGGAGAGAAACAGCTCTAAAATCAGAGGTGCTGAGCAGAATATTTTACTTTCATCTTGATTCTTCAAAAGAAAGCAGCCAACTTCTGATAGTACTTGATATAAATTCTAAACCTTGTAAACAAATCTTCACAATCTGTTTCTTACCCTGTGGTGGACTGTGTATAAAGAGAACACAATAATAATTTCTCCTCTCCTTTTCCCTGCAGCCTACTATTGTGCCTTTCTGTGGTCCCATTAAATCTTGGAATCTGGGCAAGCAGGTCTCTGAACAAGAGGAGCTCTACAGAGTGACTGTAGGAACTATAAATCTGGGACTCAAGGGGGGGGTTGAGATTTTTCTGCTTATATATTATAACTTCTTACAGGTTCTTATTTCATAATTTTAATACATGATGCTGCTTTGTAAGGGACATGAGTTAGAACATGGAAACAGAGATTTGTGAGGACATGTGGGGCAGAGACAAGCTGTCTTCCCTCTGATATCCACATCTGCAACCACGTGAATTCTCCAAATGAGACTGGGAGAAAACGATCCACAACTCGTTGAATCCAGAGTGAAATACAATGACGTTTCATTTTTCCGGGGGATAGTCTGGGGCCATACCTGGTGATGCTCAGAGGTTGCTCCTTGCTCTGTATTCAAGAATGACACTTGGTGATGCTTGGGGACCATATGGAATGCCAGGAACAGAACCCAGGTTGGCCACGTGAAAGGCAAATACCCTAGCTGCTGACTATCACTCTGGTCCCCATATAATAATGTTTCCTTAATCCACCAAGTTCTGGGGTCATTTGTTATGCAGCAATAGTTCATTGAGAGGCATCTTGTCTCTCAAATCTGGTTTTCTGTTCTCTTTGTATTCTATTTTCCAATCTCACTGAAATGTTTGTCATTCACTGTATCTCCAAGGCCCTTTACCTACTTCTAGATTTTCACACATGCTACTTTCTCTGCCTAGAATGTTTTTCCTTTTTGTTTTTGTGGGCTATATTTGACTGTGCTCGGGGAATACTCCTGGCTCTGTGTTCAGGGGTCAATTCTGGAGGGGATGGGGGACCATATGTCGTTCTGGAGATTGAAGCTGGTTTGGCTGTGTGCGAGTCAAGTGCCTTAACCACTCTATCTATTCAGCTCTGTAATGTTTTTTCATTTAGTCCTTGGAAAATCTATTTTCAGATCCAGTTCAAATCCTACTGTCATATATAACGGTTTCTCCAGATTTTTTAACATAAAGTGACTGCCTCATTTGGAATCTATGACATTCAATTTAAATATTTTATTATGGCCCTTTCCATACTGCAGAGTCTCTGAACAATATGTCTGTCTCTCATTGTGAAATGAAAGCTGCCCGAAGCAAGAACTGTTTCTTATATATTGCAAAGTTTTCAAATACATAGCAGAAGGCTTAAAATGTAAAATAACTACCCAATGAACTGGTAAAGGCACACTAAATAAATGAACTAGTGTGGAATAAAAAGAACCAAGCTGACTTGAGATGTAGAACATTTTTCTTGATATCCACAGAATTTCACACGTTTAAAAATAAAATCACAGCAAAAGTAATTATTGTTTACAGAAAGCAACTGTTCATTCTGGCCCATGTTAGGTGACTTCTTAGTTTTTTCAGAGTGCATTTTGGCTTGTGATTACTCCTCCAGATTATCAAGGTCTTTAATTTGTTATGAAAACATTGAAATAAATTATTTTCCTTCATCAGTTGCTCTGAATTGATTTCTCACATCAAAATTCACCATGAATTAATTATACACTTGGTTTCCTGGAGCCAAAAGGAATATAAGCTTACAAAGAGGTGTAAGAGTTTGGTCACAGGGCAGGTGACCCCAGGTGGAAAAGATCAGACGAAGAAAAAAACAGGCTGGAGAGAGAGCACAATGGGTTGGAATGTATGTGTGCTCTGCATGCAGTACATTCAATCCTGGCACTGCACGGTCCCCTGAAAACCACCAAGAGTGATTTCCATACACTGAGCTAGGAGGAGGCCCTAAGAACTGCTGGATATCGCCCTAAACCCAAAAGGCCCTGGGAAGGAACGGAGGGAAGAAGGGAAGAAGGGAAGAAGGGAAGGAAGGAAGGAAGGAAGGAAGGAAGGAAGGAAGGAAGGAACAAAGGAAGGAAGGAAGGAAGGAAGGAAGGAAGGAAAAAAGGAAGGAAGAAATTCTGAATTCTGAAATTAGATAAGAATCTTTGACACTTGAAAGAGTTATAGGTAAAATCAGGAGAAACCATTTGGCGAAAGCCTCAAATTTCCCATTGTAACTGTCTTGTCCCTAGGGGGATAAAGGAAGTAAAAAATGTTTATAAACTGTGTTTTCTTCTCAGTTTTGGTTTTTGGTCGACCCTTGGTAATGCTTAGAAGCTATTCCCAATTCAGCGTTTGGGGCATCTGGTCTTCTACCTGCAAATATGTGCTCCAGCCCTTTAAGCCATTTCTCTGGACCTAACTATAAGGCTTTAAGAAAACAAAATGCATCTTGAAGAAACCATTGCAAGGTCAGAGGTGAGAGGTCACAAGGTCAGCACAGATGCCTCGTATGTGCTAAGTCCCAGGTTGGATCCCTGGCACTGTATGCCCCACTGTCCTCAGTGCTGCCAGGTACAGCCCCAGTAGCCGTCACAGCACTGTACCCGCAAGCCCGCAGAGTATCCTGGGGAGTGGCTCCCGGGCCTCTGAGCACTATCTGGGAGCACGCCCTCCTCCAGCAAACACACACACAAGACATCGCTGGCACAAAACTAACTTCATTTTTGTAGTTATTAACATTTTACTTTATTCAAGAAGATTTGAACTGGGCATGAAGATACTATTTTCTAGTGAGGGATCGCAGCCTGTGGACCAGTTTGAAGGAGGACACAGCTGCAGGAATTCTTTCTTATTAAAAAAACCCTGCTAATTCCTTGAGTCAACAGCCTATTAAAAACATCTCAATTGCGTGTTCCCTGTAAACATATTACGCAGACACATATTACAGAGACAGAAATACAATTTTCCTCTTACATATTATTCTACTAGGTAACATAGGAAAACTAAGAAATCTTAGAACCTATAAATGATGAATTAATACTTACACTGTACTGGACAAGTGAGGTTTTTGCTCTACCTGGGACAATGTGTACACCATGGAAGGTTTAGAGAGACTGGGCTCATTTCATGGTTCCCTGCATGGAAAGGCCAAAGTTCTCGGGTACAGACAATAGTCTCTTTAAGACTGTGTCCCCCTCACCTGATAGGTATCTTCTAAAGTCTGGAAGACAAGACCCTCTGGCCTAGATAAGGTGAAGGTTAGTAGAAACAAAAATGGTGATGAACTCAGTGAATCAAAAATTTATTAATAAAGGTAATTGTTTTTTTTTAAATTATGGCAAATATACATAACATGCCACTTGCATATATATAATTATATGTGTAATATATATAATATGCTACTTTCATATATATAATTATATGTGTATAATTCAGTGGCATGATGAATATCCATAGTGTTATGTGGCCATCAATGCCGTTAATTTCAAACAAAACCTATTATTAAGCAATCGCCCAATGGTTTCTCCTCTCCCTCACTTCTGGTCACCTCCTTACAATTAATCTCTATGAACTTGCCCATTCTAGTACCTTCTGTAAGTTTTGTCTTTTCTTGTCTTGTCTGACATTTCATATAATATTTTCAAGTTTCATTTAAACCTTGGATATATTCAAACATGGAAATTTGGGTGGTTACAACATTTTATCTATTTGAATAATGTTACAGTGAGCATTTGTGTATAGTGTGTGTATACTTACACTATTATCGAGTATATGCCCACAGATGGATTTGTTGACTGAAAGAATAACTCTGTTCAACTTTTCTTGGTGTTAGGGTCATACCCAGCTGTGCTTAAGGCTTACTCCTTGCTTTGTGCACAAGGCATCACTCCTGACAGTGCTCGGGGATCATAGGTGCTGACAAGGATTGAACCCATGTTAGCTTCATGCAAGAAAAGAACCCTACCCTCTATGTTATCTTTCTGGCCCTGTTCCGAGGAACCATTAGACTGTTTTCAGAGCCTCTGCATAATTTCATATTTCACCAGAAATGTATGAGTGTAACAATTTCAACCCTGAAGTCCTCAAGGTTGAACCCAGGGTCTTGCACATGTAAGACCACTCAAACCTCATACCTGACTCCCATCTGCTCATTTTGAAATTCGGTTATTTGATCTTTCATTGCTGTCAAACATCTTCAAATATTTAAAAGCAAAAGTTCTCTATCACACACGTCATTTGCAAATACTCTCTCCCATTCAATGGGTTTGTTTCATCTCCTTGATAGCATCTTTTGAAGCACAAATTTTCTAATTTAATGGATTTCCATTGACATACTTTTTCTTGGTTGCTTGTCTTTTTGGAATCATAGCTAAGAAACTCTTGCCCAATTCAAGCACACAAATCTCTCTCCTTTTATTTGCTTCTAAGAATATTATTGTTTCAGCTCTTACACATTTAAGTCTTTGGTTCATTTTAAGTTCATTTTTATATATGACCTAGGGTACAGTGGCTTTTGCATTGGGCATGAAGTTTTCATGGCATCTGTTCAAATAACAATTCTCCCTCCACTGAGTTATTTTAGTCCCGGTGTTGAAAAACAGTAGATCACAAATGTGAGGGTTTATATTTAAAGTGACCCTCTTTTCCTAAGCATTGCTTGGGTTGCTTCCCACAATTCTGAAAAAAATTGTGATTGATTTTCACTCAGTTAAATGTAAAACTTTCTTTGTGATTTCCTCTTTTTCTGGTGGGGGGAGAAACCTAGATTTATTTAGGACTTAGTCCTGGCTCTGAACTCAGAGGACCTTACGGGGTGCTGGGGACTGACTCCATGGGGCTGCATACGAGGCAGGGATCCTACCCACTGTATGATTTATTGTTCTGGTCCCTTGTGAGTTTTACTTCCTGCATGGATTATTTACTTGTGTGTTAATTTTTTAAGCGAGGAAAAATGTTGGTCTTCAAGAGTATAAATGTTTATATGTCTTAGATCAGGTTCAAGGGACCACCTGGGGTGCTAGGAACTGAACCTGGGTTTGCGACATGCAAGGCAAGTGACCTACCCACTGTACTGTCTCTCCAGTTGCCTTTTAACTTTTTTCTGTCCCTCTTGTATGGCATGTTTTCAATTCTTATTTCCGCTACAAGATTATCAACTCTCTTGGTTTTGTATACTTAGAGGTTGGTTTACAACAAGCACCTCTCATTTATCATACTCTTACCTTTAAATTCGGTACCCACATAGCCTTAGGCGTCCTGAACTCTGGGCTCAGTTTTCATTTGGATTGCTGGGTTCTGTTTGATTTCTTCTACCTTCCCTGCACTTCAGAAACTGCCCAGTGTCTGGGTGCCAGGACACTGTTCTCACTTTGTCTTAGAGATCAAGTTCAGGGCTGCCTGCTCTGTCCTGAAAAAGTTTCATTCCTCTCTGGTGCCCAGTTTTCAGGCGTCTACTTCTGAGCCTGAAATGGAAATTCTTATTTATTTTCAAGTCTGTTGCATCACTTGGATTGGCAAACCTCTGCACTCTTTAACATCCTCTACATGCTTTGTCTATAATCAATGACGACAGTCTATAGTGTCTCAATCTGCTCTTTCTTGTCATCCTCACTCATGTTGATTTTGTTACCTGAGTAGCTTGTGGTTCATTACCATAACTTATTTTAATCTTTTTTTTTTTCAATTGGGCTATTCTTGTATTTTGGGGGCTATCTTCCTCTTCCTGGCTTGGTGCTCAAAAGTTACTCCTGGCAGTGCTCAGGGGACCATATGAGACTGTGGATCAAATGAGGGTCTCCTGAAAGCCAAGCATGCAATCAGCCCATTGAGCTTTCTCTCTGGCCTGGAAGATTTATTGTTTCTAAGTGAACAAGTATTTTATTGCTCTTAATCTGCAACAGCCTGAGCATCGCACTTTGGATCCCACATTTCTGTTAAAAGATTATTAGCCTATAACTCTGTAAGAAAGGAGAAACTAAGATCCCTTTAGGCTTCCCATATGCCCTCATTTCCGCCCCCCCCCCCCCCACTTAAACAGAGCCTTTACTTCCCTTAAGAGACTCTTAGTACCCCCCTCACAGAGTGATGCCCTTGTATATGCTCCCTGCTCCAGTGTCATTTGTGCTCTTCTTGTTTGGTCCTGTACATATTTCCTTTTCTTTCTGAAAGTCAACAGAAAAGGTCCCCCAGTATCCAGTGTGTCCTAGCAGATGAAGCAAACTCAAACTTGTTGTTTCACTTCCTGCTCATGTCATCGCCTGAGGTATCTCCTGCTCCTGACTTCAATAATAGCTTCTACTTGCAAGACATCAATACTTGGGGCTTTAGCATTTCCCTTGTGATTACTGGGGGATTAGAGTAACACATTACTCAGGACGGTTTGGGCCACACTCCTTAGTGCTCAGGGACTATTTTTGGCTCTGTGCTCAGGAGTATCCCTGGCCTTGTTCAGGGGTCTGTATATGGTGTGGGGATTTGAACCAGAGTGGAGGCTGAAGTACCTCCTATTTCTTGGCCCCATCCATGTTTCCCCGCACCCCTCCTCAATGGTGCTTAGGGCTTCCTCCTGACTGTCTAAGAATCGTTCCTGGTGGGGCATGGAGGACCATATGGGATGTTAGGGATGTTCTCCTCATGCAAGGCAAGTGTCTTACTGCTGTACTATCTCTCCAGCCCTGCCATCCTCTACATTTTAAATCTCAGTCCCAAATGCTTACAGGAAACATCCATCTGTGTGACTTAGATTCAATAAATCCAAGTCAAAATACATTTTTGCACTGTCTTTACAAGTGTAAGCACTGTTCCATCCACCCAGAAATTGCAGTTCTCAAGATAGAAGAGATTTTTAAGAGCACTTTTAAAAAGGAGGGTGTTGAGTGCCAAGGACTACTGGCTAACATTTCGCTGATCACTTCCAGTTTAACTTCTCTAAAATATTACTCAGCATTATGCTGCTTCCTGTCTTGGACCCGGCTGTTACGCTCTTGCAGCCTGGGTCTGAGGAGTTTCCCTTCTTCAAGGGTCCCTTTCCTTGCTTCCACTGCAATAACCTGGCAAATCATGCCTCTCCTTATAGACCAAAGCAAGACCACACCTCAATGGTGGTGTGCTTTCCTCCAAAGATTCTAGCTCGACACTGCAGGGTTCTCAAGCCCCAACTGAGAACGAACTCTTCCCATATAGAAAACCTTTGGCGCAGATGACACCTTCCCTCAACTCCCTCCACAGCAGGCTCTTCATCCAAACTGAACAAATTCTGCCCCCCCTCAAAACATGGCTCCAAGAGCAAGTCCTTCCCTAGTCTCACCAGTCAAACCCTCCCTCTCATCTGAATTTGAGAACGTCTCACAACTAGAGATTCAGAGAACACATTAAGTTGGACTTTGGTACAAATGGCAGAGCACAATCTTTCCAGCTGACGCCACCAGTTAACCAATCAGATTTTTCCAGCTGATGACCTTTCGCAGTTTCCCCAGGCCAACAGGAATGGGTTGTTTTATGTAGTGCGGCACCCAGCACGTGGCAGCTCGGAGAAGCCGGCTAAGGAAGGAAGCACGAGTTACTGACCTTGGTGATGTCTGTGTGGTCTTTGAGCCCGTTGGTCATACACCAATACCGCCACACATTCAGGGCGTACCGCGTGGCTTTGGTTGTATTTGGGCTGACTGCACTGGTGCAGAGGTCATTTAAGTCATCATTCATGTTAAACACAGGGAATTTGTTGAGTTTGGTAGAATAGGCTGGAAACAAAAGCAAGAAACAGCATTAAACAATTTCCTGGTCCTTTCCTTCTAGAGAACTGCATCTTAGGAGAATGTGAAATAAATAACAGAAAAAGCTTAGGAGATCATGTTTTTAGAATCAAATTTTTTTTTCTTTTTGGGTCACACCTGGCGATACACAGGAATTACTCCTGGATGTGCTCAGGGGACCACATGGAATGCTGGGAATCGAACCCGTGTCAGCTCCATGCAAAGCAAAATGCCCTACACACTGTGCTATCGCTCCAGCCCCTAGAATCAAATTTTTAATCAAGCTTGCATGTACTGTAACACTGTCCTCTGTTGTTCATCGATTTGCTCGAGCAGGCACCAGTAACGTCTCCATTGTGAGACTTGCTGTTACTGTTTTTGGCATATCGAATACGCCACAGGGAGCTTGCCAGGCTCTGCCGTGCAGGAGAATATAATGAATAAAAAAAAAAAAAGAATAAGTATTGCATGCACTATGATAATCAAAGTAGTAACTCCTATTTCTAGCACAGAATTAATGGATTGGCCTTGCATTGGCCCCGTGATTTTGCTAGATGTAATAAGGAATGCAGACATTCCAACAGCAGAAGGGCGTGTGTGTACGGGGGCGGTGAGTGGGGAGAGAAATCAATACAGAAAGACAAAGATGCTTTATCGAAAAATTTCTTTGTATAAAGTATTTCTAAAAAAAAAACAAAACCCCCAAATCAAAGAGTAAACATTTCTATTAACAACCACAACATCGATTAATATGCAAATTAATATGCAAATATGCAAAGAAGGGAAGATGAATTACACATTTTTCGCTTTACCCTAAGCCATTGAAGAGATGTTCTCTCTTTGGAATCTATTGTCTCAACTTCTCTTAGGTGCTATCCTGGGTAATCTTATATTGAATGGTATTTATACATTTTCTTCCAATTCTTTTCACAAACTCATAAAGAGACAAATTTAAAATCTGACTCTACAACTCACATGCTAATTTAGAATCAGAATGAAAGGTTAAGGGATTGAGATATTAGGGAAATAAATGAAAACCTCCAGAGACCTTTCCAACTTCTCAGTTGAGAACAAACTTAATTGCAAGTAACACTTCAAGTGGACATACTGAGGTAGACCAGGGTCCATAACCATAGGTGGAGCCTTGCTTATTCTCCTGGGATCTACTCAATTCAGTCTTAAGCTTGAAATTATTGTCTTTGGAAAGGAAAATATAGCAAAGAGTATCCCCTGGAAGTAAAATCAATGCCAAGTTGTGCATAAGCCAATGGTTCTGACCTCTGGAATGCACTGGAAGCCTAGGGACATGAGACACAGTGGAGATGAAGAGCTGATGCAAGAATTCAGTTGATCTTCACATTGATTTCGCTTCCTCCATCTTGTTCTTTGGCTTTTGGTCTAAACCTGGTGGTTCTTAGAGCTTACTCCTGGCTCTGCACTCAGGGATCACTCCCGGCAGTGCTTCAGGGGCTAGGGCTCAAATCCAGGTCATCAGCATATTCCCTACCCTCTGTGCTCTCTCTCCAGCCACTTCACTGACCTTTTAATGCTCCGACTTAAAAATTACAAATCGCTACCCTGATATGCCCAGCATTATTATGGGTCCAACATACCCACCTTAGCTCTTGGCCTGAAGAATCTCCTACCACAGACACACTGTACCACATCATGCGACACCAGCCTGACAAATGGTCATGGGCTTTGTGCCAGTCAAAAACAGTGTCTTTCAATGACAATTCTAGACTCCTTTTCCCATAATCCTTTTCTCCACAAACCTGACCGCCTTGTACAATCCTTTAACATTCTTCAGAGTGGAGACCTAACTGGAGATCTCATCCAATGGTTTAAACGCTCTTTAAAAGGCTATTTCCACCCTCTAAGCTGGTTGCTAAACACCATGTTTCTGTAGCTCGTTAATTTTTTTGCCACACCCAATGGTGCTACGGCGCTACTCTTAGCATGATGCTCAGGATGCAGTGCAGGGGATGGAACCAGGGGCTCCCTCATACAAAGCATGTCCTTCGGCCCTTGAGCCATCTCCTTGACCTACACCCAATCTGTTTTAAATGTGCTTATCACCAGAGAGAGAGAAACAATGTTACAGTATACAAAAATGACTTGAATAGGCAGAGTTGGGTACGTACTTTCTACTCTCATAGACCTAGACAAGTTGTATTGTTTGAAGGACTTGCTTTATATTAATTGATACTAGTATACAATTTACTATTATTACAACCAGTAAGAACTGAGAATCAACCGCTCATTAAAAGGTTTCACACAAATTGGGGCTAGAGCAATAGTACAGCAGGTAGGGCATTTGTCTTGCACACAGCCAACTCGGGTTCGATTCCCAGCATCCCATATGGTCCCTTGAACACCGCCAGGAGTAATTCCTGAGTGCAAAGCTAGGAGTAACCCCTGTGCTTTGCTGGGTGTGACCCAAAAAGCAGGGGGAAAAAAAGGTTTTACACAAATCATCTAAAATCTGTAAGCAACTCCGCTGTTCCTTCGTTCCTTCTATGTCATAGAGAAGTGGGTCTTACACATTTCACTCAGATCATGTACGACTGGCCTGTATTTACCATGACGCACTCACAGGTGCACTGTGCTTGCTCTTCTCAGGGATGCAGGGCTTGAGCTGGGTCCTGCTGACTCTGGCCTGGCGTCTACAGAAAAGAATCAGGTATACCAGGGTATAAAGTCCTAAGTGAAGAATCCAATTCAGGGACCGGAGAGCAGGCTTCACTTGCAGGAGCTCCAGGTTTGATCCCTGGGCAGTTGGGACTAGGTCCCTACCCCCACCCCAGCACTGATGTGTGGGTGAAAATAAATCTAAAAACCCAAATGAAACAAAACAAAACAAATTCAATTGAGGGGTTAGTCACCTGGGCTTATTAAAGATACCCAGGAGGGGCTGGATCAATAGCACAGTGGGCAGGGCATTTGCCTTGCACACGGCTGACCCATGTTCGATTCCTAGAACCCCATATGGTCCCCGGAGCACTGTCAGGGGTAATTCCTGAGTGCCTGAGCCGGGAGTAACTTCTGTGCTTTTCTGGGTGTGACCCAAAAAGCAAAAAACAAAAACAAAATCAAAAAAACAAAAGTCAAAACACCCAGGAACCCTGATTTACTCAGATTAACTTCAGTGAGAACTGACTTAAACACTACAGTTTCAAACCGATGGCTCAGTTTCATTATTAAATCAAACAATATGTGGCCTTAAATAATTCTATTCATTCTCAATTTTGCAAAACGCCAATGCAAAAACTGTTGACTGAAGATGGAAACCCAAATCCTAGTATACTGGGAAAAACCGGTAACGAATGCTTAGCTAATTAACAATGAGAAAGAAATGATGACACTGATTAAAGGGCACAGTCAGCTCCTGAACTGTAGCAGAACAGTTAAATTATATTTATCTGACATACTTTTTATTTTTGGCTTTTTGGGTCACATCTGGCGATGCACAGGGGTTACTCCTGGCTCTGCACTCAGGAATCACTCCTGGCGATGCTCAGGGGACCATATGGGATGCTGGGAATTGAACCCGGGTTGGCCGTGTGCAAGGCAAATGCCCTACCCGCTATGATACTGCTCAGCCCCATCTAACATACTTTTAAAAAACTTTTTCTTTTGGTAGAAGTTCTAGCAGTATGCTGTTTAAAAAAATTCAGGAAAATATATTGTTGGAGAATCAAAAGAAAGAGCTTCTTATATGAAAAGGTTTAAAGGAATAAGGAATACTACAGAAGGATTAAAAAGATTTTTTTTTTTTTACCTACGAGAGAATAGTGTCTCCATGGTCAAGGTTGGGAAGGGCTGGCCTTGGGAGTAGGTGTGGATTAAGGGGCTTTGAGAGTGGAATCTAAGAACCAACAGTCCTGATGATTCCAAAGCACCCACGTGGGCGATGCCCCTTCCGTCTCTCACACACAGAATATGGCAAGCAGAGCTGTGAAGAGTAAGGAAAACCTGCTGTGGGTGGCTACCTTTGAAGTCCAGAGAGATGGGGACCGACGTCAGGTAACTCTGGGCAGTCCCATGAGATACACTGAGGTCAAATAAAAAAGTGGTTATGATGAACAAGAAGTCCCTGGCCACAAACCATCTCTCAGAGACACATTTCCTATTTCTGCATTTGAGAGCGGTACTAGCAATCCTCTGTCTTCAGCTTATGTTCCCTGCAGGGATGTCTATTCGATGACACTATAGTGTCTACTAGTTCCAGTTGGCTGAACTGGACTTGCCGACTTCTGTGCTCAACGAACTATGCTTGCAAGAGTGAGCTCTGTTCAGATGTAGCAAATACAAATAAAAGTTGAAGAAAATTCTTAAGGTTACCAATAATGAGAAATCTAGATTTTCCATTTTAAAATGTGAACACAAATCAATCACCACTTGACAACCAGGGAACACCAAGAGTATGAAAGTCATTCAGTTATACAAGGGCCACTACTAATGCCATTTTCTTATACCTCGCTTGCCAAGAAACATTAATTCAAAAAACCAAAGCAAAAATTTAAAAGATCACAAAAAAAATCATTACTTGGATTTGGGAAGTTAAGACATCCTTAAAATGAGATTAGATTTCACTGGAAGAAAGAAAAATAAGATAAAAACAATGATCCTGGAAATTTAAGATCAGTGTAAAAAATTACTTTAAAAGCACTTATTAGCAACTCAAGTGATATTAGAGTGTTAGGGTACATGCACTATATGTGCCTGACTTAGGTATTGTCGCTGGCATCCCTATATGATCCCCCAAGCTCTACCAGGAGTGATCCCTGAGCACAGAGCCAGGAGTAAGCCCTGAGTACGGACAGGCATTTCTCCAAAACCAAACCAAAACAAACAAAAGGCCAAAAATACTGGGGCTGGAGAGATAGCACAGCGGGTAGGGTGCTTGCCTTGCATGCGGCCAACCCAGGTTCAATTCTCAGCATCCCATATGGTCCCCTGAGCACCGCCAGGAGTCATTCCTGAGT